ATATATATATATATATATATATATATATGTAGAGCTAGGTTCAAATGTTTCTAGCAACTATTATGTGAATGAATGCACCAATATGAAATTAGGAATACATAAATCATTAAATAAATCATTTAAGGGTATTATAGTAATCTTTGCATAATTAATTATGGTAGATCAACGACAATTCCTTATATCACACAAGAAGCAAACATAAATTTAGAACATTAGCCCTAAATCGATTTCACCACTTCCCACCATCCTTGTAGATCGATTTCACCATTTCTCTCTGTCTTCTCTATTTGTTCCATATTCAAGCCCTAAATCGATTGACGAAACGAATGATATGTGTATGGCTGTTACAATTGTAGAAAGAAAAGATAGAGAAGGAATGGAGAGAGCGAGCGAGTGAGAAAGAGGTACTAACATGCAGAACAGAACTCCGATTTTGCTCCAATGGCTAGCTATGGCGTTGACTGTAACCTTTGGCATGGTCGCCGACGAATATTTTAAGCCGTTCAATGTTGGCTACGATCATAGAGCACTTACTATTGATGGACAACGAAGAATGATTATTTCCGCAGGAATTCACTATCCTCGAGCCACACCTGAGGTATTTTACTACTTCTACTTGTTCAATGACTTCAGTCAATTCTACGATAACAATCCTCAGTGGTGTATAAGTCTACATATACAACATGTGATTTTGTTTACAATTTAACATGATTCAGACGCAAAAGCAGGAGATATGAGATTTTCAAGGGTTTTATTAGGTTATTTTGGCAAAAATTGAATTTTGGGTTGTGCTTTCTGTTTCTGTGTTTCATCAAATAATATGTGATTTCTGTTTCTGTGTTTCATTTTCATTCTCATCTTTCATCTACCTCTTTTCTAGACATGTATGAAGTTCAACATAACTTATAATGGGCGATGGTGATTGTTTCCCCTCCAACTCTATTTTACCTTCACAAGATGGCCTTTCCATTTATTTGACTATATATAATGCAGTCTCTTTACTTTTACCTAAATCTAACTGTTTATTTCATGATTGTTTTTGTATGTGATTAATTTAGATGAATTCGAGTAGTATGTTAGTGTGTTTGATTGTACTTTATCTTATTGCATATAAGGTGTTTGTGAAAATGTCTAAAAGAGAACTTGATATAATATATACAATTTGTTTGATCGGTGGGTTTGGATGTGCATTATCTCATGATTGATTTTGTATATGATTGATTTTAGGTGAATTTGATTAGTGTGTTAGTGTGTTTAGTGTGTTAGTGTGTTTGGTTGTACTTTATCTTATTACATGCTAGGTGTATTCCAGTAGAATGTATTCTGCTACTTGTATTTCACTTGACAAGATCTGATGTGTATATACATGCTTGTATGTGACAAAACATAAACAATAACATCAATATGTGTGTAGAATACTCATAAACTCATTCTATTAGAATATTTAAATGATCATTTGGTTAGAAATAACATATTTTTGTTAAAACATACAACCATTCGTTCTATTCTTTGTTTGTTATGGTTCCTAGTGGTAGGAGGTTCATTTGCTGATCTTTTTATATCTTTTTTGATGTTTCTACCCCTAACTTTGTTTTGCATAAATGAAGTGTTTTCTTGTTTAGTTTTTTTTGTGTTTCTAAAGTTGTTGGCTTAAATTCTTGTTTTCTCTGGTATGGCTTGTTCTCCTGGTACGATTTTTACCGAAATTAACGTCTAATTTGGCATCAAATTAACTGATTATAATTCATGAATTGGAGATTTTTTGCTGCTACAACCTTAGTTTACAATGAGAATATAAATATTACATAAAACATGTGTTGCTAGTAATTTTGACAGAATACATTTATACATGCTTTAGAATGTTTATGCATATAGAAAAAAGACTATGATTTAAGTGCATTCTGTAATGTATTCTGTTAGAATTTATATATATATATATATATATATATATATATATATATATATATATATTTGTTTAACTGATAATACTAACGAGTAATGTATCTTATTCTTTCAGAATTGCATGGAGAAGGAATTCAATATTGATCATACAAGAGAAATATTTGGAATCGAGTTCAACAACAAGTATATATGTGAAGATCAAGTGGATTATATGGGCCACTGAAGAAGATCAAGTGTATTTGTTCAATAATTGTATATTCAAGAATGTTATTTTTTAAGAATTTTATTCATTTTTGATGATATTATGTTAGAATATGTATAAATATATTAAAATGTATAAGGATATTAGTATGTAAGAATATGTATGAATTTGTATTTTTATTTCGGATGTGTATTAAGAATAAAATCATAGACCCAACTTGGATGTATATGAATAATAATCTAGAATTCTTAAATCAGGTTAATTATCAAAAATACATGCATTGGAAATATATTCTGCAAGAATAAAATCGAAAATATATTTACTAGTTTATGGTTGGCATTCTGTCATTCTGACAGAATAAAATCGGATTTTTAAATTTGAATTAATTTAAAATATTCATATTTTTAAAAATGAAGGAATTAATTATCCATAAAAATCTTAAAATTTCCTTTTTAATATAGGTTAATTGACTAAAATGCCCTTATGCTGAAATTTGTGTGATTATATGGTACATGTTACCCTATTGTAATATCAGAGACCCTCAGATCATGACATTTGATTCTATTCCATCCGGTGGTCCAGATCTGTGCATTCTGGCACACAATAGTTAGTAAAAACAAAATAACCTAAGCCTATATATATATATATATTATATATATATATATATATATATATATATATATATGTATAAATCATATTTTTACATATACATATACAACTTTTGTATTACATACTAAATTCATAAAATGAAACTATATTTATATTTTTACAACCGAACAAAAACTGAATAATATTGGTTCAATATTTTCATCATTAACATCCAATTAATTTTTAAATTTCAAGGATTGAAAATGACAATATCTTTAACACAACCGATAATGATAATAACAGTACATAAGCAGGAAATAAGGCCCGCTGTAAGGATCAAAATTTCAAAAAATAACAATGATGGTATCAATTAGGTAACAATACACACTTATATATGTAAGAGGTTCAATGTTCATATCTTGAGAGTTTCAAATAGGAGTGCATCATGAAAGAATATGTGACATGCGAATTAATAAGTGCACCTCTAGAGTATGATGCAATGTGTGGTATATTTTGGGCCTTATTTGTAATAAACAATTCTTCAAGGGCCGGCAATGTGATACATTTATTTCTTCAACCAAAACCCCACTACACCTTTCAACAGCACTCCTGGAGTTTCAAATTTAAAGTATTTTCTGAAAATTCTACCAAATTGCAGCAAATCTAACACTGATCGAATCAATTCATCATCAAATCGAGTGAAAAAGATGGCAGCAAAGCAAATGGAAGAGATACAGAGGAAATTAACGTTGTTGGCTTACCCAAGAGCCAATGCCCCTTCTCAATCTCTCCTCTTTGCCGGCATGGAGCGTTACTCCCTTCTCGAATGGCTATTTTTCAAGTAATTTTCTCCTCTCTCTCTGTACATTTACTGTTGATTCATATACGGGTATGAATTCCTGTTAATGATTGATCAATCGCAGGTTATTGGGTGATAAATCCCCTTTTTCTCAACAAAATTTACACGGGGACGCTATGGATCGGGACGAAGAGACCTCTCGCATACAATGTAATTGCTTCAGCATTTCTCAAGCACTTACAATAATTTGTGTATATTGACTGTGTCATCAGCTATCGAATCGTTTAATTCCAATTCAGTCAACCTTTTTTAGATTAAATCCAAGTTCACTGGCTTAGAAGAATCATACGTAAGATGAGGATCTACTCTCAGATGGTTTACCTTCGGATGCAAAGTGTTTTAGAACAAATACTTGTAGTCATGCTGCAAAATTGATCATCCAATTCTTGATTTACCATGATTTGATCATTTTTGACACTTTTAGATCGTACCCTAGTGTCTAGTTTAGATTTTTGGATTAGACAAAACAGTGTCTCGATTCTCAAAATGAATATACATTCAAAATGCTGATATTTTCTCTTTTTATGCATAACATATAACTTGTTTTTATGTACAGATTTGGCAGAAATTGCAAAGTTTCTTGGCATAACCACTAGTGTAGATACAGAAGCTATTCAAGTGAGTTTGATTCTCATAATGTTTTTTATTTAATGTTATTTGTTGGATGGTTTTTCTACATCATAATTACAAATGTTGCATATGTTTCTTAGATTTGGATTCCTACTTCTATGGTTGAACATCTTAAATGTTTTAACAACTAACTTTAAGAAGATAATATATGCATATTAGTTATCATTAAATTCTCCAATCATAAAAGGATACAAAGATAGTCTTAAATCCTCATTCTAAAGCTTTGAACACAAAACCCTAATTTTGTTCAACACCCCATTAGTGTTTATAATCCAAAACCCTAAAAGCATAACCAGTATTACAAGTTTTAAATCACTAAATTTTTATTTGTTGGATGAATTTTATAAAACACTGGTCATATATTTTTGCCTTTTTCTGTGTAATTGTATCCTCTGTTACTTCTTTTTATATTTATAGTATTTTGAGTTTAGACCTTTAAAGAAAGAACAAAATGGAATATTTTTTAAATCTCTTTTGATTATGAATTTCTAATTCTTTATTGTAGGGGAGAGGAAGTTATGAAGAAAGGACAGAAATGCTTCGACTGATTGTAGATCTTGTGGAAGCTAGCATTTATGCTGATAATCCTGAATGGAGGTTATTATCGTCATTTTCCATGCTCTTTTTTTTTACATGATCTTTTTCTTTATAATAATCAAATACCCTTTTTTGTAGTGTTGATGAACAGGTAGCAAAGGACATACAACTGATAGATTCTATTGCTGAAAAACAAGCTCAAATTTTCTCTGAAGAATGCAAATTATTCCCTGCTGATGTGCAAATTCAATCCATATATCCATTGTAAGATTATTATAATTTATAACCCATTAAAAATATTACTTTTTGTACTTTACATCTTTTAAATATTTTACAAGATTGTTGTTTAGAATGCATGGTTTAAGTAAAACTTTTAAACATTTCATATAAATCATGAATGCTATGTATTGCTTAACTAACTTAATTTAAATATTTTATTATGAAATCATTTTTCAGTCCAAATTAATTGCAATATTTTAGTAATCTTGGCTTTTGTGTACAAGATTCTTCCTATTTTGTCATAACTGAAGGGTATTTAAGACATTTCACTAGCATGCCATTTATCTGTGTCTTAAAGCATACTACTTTAATTTCTTGCAATTACAGCATTATACTTTCAATCTTTTCTTATTAAGGCATTTTACTTCTATACTTTATTTATTTATTTATTTATTTATTATAACAATATATCTGAAAAAATCTTCCCAATTATAGCAGTGAAAATTGTATTGCTATAATTTGGTTGATTTTTCAAATGGAGAATGCTGTAAATTTGTAATAGGATAAATCAATAAAACTACATTGCTATTTCTTGCATTTAATATTTTTTATTTTTTTAAATGAAAATTCATTTTTAGGCCTGAAATATCAGATTTGGAGAAACAACTTGCAACTCAATCTAGTAGATTATCGAGTTTACAAGAAATGGTTGATGATTTGGCATCAAAGGTTTGAACTTTAAAATGTTTACATTCTTTTTTTTTTATGCATTTTATCAACATATTTATCTTTTTTATTTTTTTAAAATCTAGCATTCGTATGATCCTGATGAGGATTATGCTGAGGTGGACATGAAGCTAAGGGCACATCTAGAATCTTTCTTAGAAACTGCAAGATCCTTTAATACAATCTACACAAAGGTTATTGTTTTTCTTTATTAATCTTTATAAACTTCTTATTGTAGTCTTTCATTTTCTGATTTTTCATTTTTCCATGAGCTTTGTGCTTTTTAAAAAAAAAGAGTAAATTACACGAATGTTCCCTAACTTATTTTTTTAACTCGGAAGGTTCCTATTGTTTGTTTTTGTTGCACGCTTGGTCCCTGTCTTACCTAAAAAGACTATTTTGCCCTTGATTTTTTAATTTATTTAAATAATATGGGGTAGGTAAGGTAAGGTAAGGTGAGGTGAGGTGGAGGTGGGGTTGGGGGTGTGTTTATTTGAATAAATTAAAAAATCAAGGGTAAAATAGTCTTTTTAGGTAAGATAGAGACCAAGCGTGCAACAAAAACAAACAGTAGGGACCTTCCGAGTTAAAAAAATAAGTTAGGGACCAAACGTGCAAATTACCCAAAACCATAGGGACTATTTGTGTAATTTACTAAAAAAAAAGGTAAAATGCATGTAATTTCTAAACACTTTAATCTTTTTTTTTTTTGGTTATAACATTCGACTTTCATTTTTTGAATGTCATCCAAATACACAACAATTTTTGTTGCTGTAGTTATTAGTTTTTTAAAGTAAAGTGACTTAATAAAACATTACAATGATATAATTTGGTAAAATGTTTAAAGTCCAATGTCTTAATAAGATTCTTTTTAATCTCAACAAAAGACCTTATATTTCGTGCTTTTTTTTTTTTTCGGATTAAACCTCAAATTTATTTTTTGCTTGAAAAGACCTTGTATTTTTTCATTTTTTCCGATCCGACCCTTTTCATCATTTTTTTTTCCAAAAAAATTTGTAAAATGTGAGGGTTTTTTCGAGAAAAACTAAAAAAGTTGTGGGTTTATTTGGAAGCATTTAGAAGGTTGAGGTTTTTTTTTGAAAATAAGACAAAGTTGAGGGCTTTTTCGGAAAAAAATGAAAAAAATACAAGGCCTTTTTCAGGCAAAAAATAAATTTGAGGTTTAATCTGAAAAAAAGCACAAAATATAAGGTCTTTTTTGAGATTAACCTTTTTATTTATTTATTTATTTATTTTTTTGTAAATATGGTGTTGTTATAGAAAGAAATGAAAGTAAGATGCTATAATAAACAAATAAATAAAAGTACGTTGCTATTTTTTGCATAATGTTTTTTTTCTAAAAAATTATCATGTGTTATATATATATATATATAATATATATAGATATATATATATATATATATATATATATATATATATTTGGTAGGAAATACGTCCATGGACACATATGATGGAAGTACCACAATTACATGGATTTGGACCAGCTGCAAATCGCTTATTAGAAGCTTACAAGCTGCTCTTAAAGGTAAATTACTAAATTACCCTTATAGTTATTCTTATTATTTTATAAAAACTCTCTATTTAAAAGAAAAATCAATTAGCAATTTTATAGAGATGGTATTTTCGACTTGTTTACATTTTGATTATACCTTATTATATGTACATGGTCAAGTAAGTAAAACTAAAAATCTTGATAAGTTGATTTAAAAAAAAATTGTATTGTAAAGTAATATTTATATCTTATAAAAAGTAAAAACTCTGTATTTCCAAAAAGAAATAATTTTATTAACAATTTTGTAGTCTTAAATAGTCTGTGTATTTACATTTAATTTGTTACCAATGTGTCTTGTGTTATTGAGTAATTGCTTAATTCAAAAAATTTAAAAAAAAACATTTCATAATATCATTTTTGATTATATTTTATTATACATGGTCAAGTAAGTAAGGGTTTTATGTAGAAAAATCTTATTATTTTGGGAAATTTTTGATAAATTATTAAATGTTTAATTTTAGCAGAAAAGTCTTATTATTTTGGGAAAATCACAAAATCTGTCATTTCCTCTTAAAATAAAAAAATGACTTTTACTAATTTGGGTAAAATGTTAAATAATCGGGACTTTTCTATTAAAAAAAAAATTTAAGACTATCAAAAATTTTCCGAAAATAATGAAACTTTTCTACATTAAACCCAAATAAGCAAAATTGAAATCTTAATTGTAAAATAATATTTATATCTTATAAAAAAAGTAAAAACTCTATATTTGGCTTTGAATAGTTACATGTAATTTGTTACCAATGTGTCTTGTGTTATCGAGTAATTTTTCAATTCAAAAAAATTTTAAAAAAAAACATTTAATGAATAAGAAGTTAATAAAAGGATAATTTGCACACTTCTACAAGTATTTACAATCTATTTTCAAATATGTATTTATATTACAAACAATAATTCCAAATCTTTTAACAAATTATGGAATCGGATTCCACTTGAACACGTGTCAAACAACAATGTCTTTTAGGGAATCATCGCTAACACGTGTCATCTTTTTACGACAGTTTTTAGGAAACTTGAGAAACCTACGTGACTCACATGCTGCGGTGGCCGTTGGATCATCGGAAACAATCTCCGGTCAACCATCGTCGGTGGCAAGAATAATATCCGAATGTGAATCCGCTTTGACTTTCTTAAACCGTGATCTTGGAATCCTTTCCGCTTCTATAGCTCGTGATGAAGCAAAAAAATCAGGGTCAACTATTGACTAAAACAATGTGTAGAAGTATAAGTAGAACCACATCAATTCTAAATTCATATTCTTTTTGCTCCACCTAAACAACAATGTTTAAAAAATGATTGATTTACCCTTTTTGTGTTTGAGGCTAATTCTTTTGATGATTTTTGGTTGCTAGGAAAATTTATTTTTTCATGTGTTTTTAATGGTTTACAATTGGCAATTAGGTAATTAAACAATTGGTTGCGTTTGTTACATGAGACATAACTAAAATGGATGGGATTTTAGTCTATGATGCGGGTGAGGAGGGTATTAATGTCATTTCATACACGTGAGAGGTCGAAGGCTAGTCGATGTATTATCCATGGTGTTTTTTAGTCGACAAAAGTATTGGAAGCAATTGTTATTTGATAATATTGTCTCTTAATTCTTGTAATTGGTTTGTTTTTAGAAACAAGGCTATAAAAAATTGTTATATGCATGGTTGTTGCATCCAACAACGTCTTAATTTGTTTTTGTTTTTTTTTGTTAGTGTCTAGCAATCTTTTTAGGACAAAAATTTGCAATTTTGATTTTATTGGCATAAGTTTAAGTCTAGGTCAAATGTAGTAGAATACAAACCAAACGATGTACAAGGTTGACATGTTCTATCATAAATTGTTTTACGTAACATTTGGTGCCTTAATGTATTAACATTTTCGTACAATCATTATTTTTTATTATGTATGGTCTAAATATATAAGTTTACACGTTTTGGTATGTTTGAAACTAGATGTTTAGAGCATAATCCACTTAAAAACTCGAATGGCTAAAAAAAAAAGATCTACAAAAACTATGTCCAGGTATATGATTTGAGTTTGACTCAAAAATTTTGATACATACTATCTTAAATCTCATAGCATAAGCTAAACATGGTGGTACAAAAAGCTTGGTTTACTGTCAAAAATCAATTTTAAAATGTTAAAAATAGCAGGGAGATTATTTTTTCACGGTAATTATCTTTTCATTTTATTGAAATTTAGGCAAAAAAAAAAATTTATATTATTGACCATCAAACTTGTTAAATGTGTTCACATGTTAAAATTGTCATATGAAATGGCCAATGACAATGATAAAATATAAACACATTTAACAAGTTCGATGGTCAATAGTTTAAAAAAAGTTATCTAACTATAAACAAAATGAAAAAAATAATTAACCTACTAAATCATTTTTTCCTATTTATCTCACTTTTAATAGAGATTTTATTTTTCATATTTGTTTGTATTATTTTTCTAAACGTTATTTTTAAAGCATCCATAATGACCGATCTTTCATCCTATTTATATCCGTTTTGATATGACAAATCAATTTTCTATTAACTGTTTTTAGTAAAAACTTACTATCATAAATATTAATTAATCATTGATCACATCTTAAAGTTTTTTATTAATTAATAAATATATTTTCATTTTTATGAAATATTTTATATATTTACTTATTTTTTTAAGCATGTTTATTTTTTTTAAAATAAATAGTATCTAACAATAAAATAAATAAATTAAATATGTTACAATAAATATGTAGGGTCTTTTAAAAAAAATAAAAAGAAAATATTACGTAAAAAATAAAAAAGAAATAAAATTTTATAATGTATCTGTTATGAATTTATAAATTTATTTTTCTACAACTTTTAAAAGACTTTTCTAGAATTTTTTATAATATTTTTGTAACGTCCCAAACTTCAAACCAAAATTTTCATTTTTAAATCAAGAAACTTATTCAAAATATCTTTTCAAAACATAGATAAAAACCCATTTGTTCAACAATCATACAACCAAGTATCTGAAATCTGCGTAATATCAATAACATTGAAATTCAAGACAAATCCATTATTGATGCATGTGTCACACCTTTCCTTTTGTCAGAAGAACAGACTTGTTCTTTTGAAAAACATTTAATCAACAACTGTAAGCATAAAGTTTAGCGAGTTTCCTAAAAAACCGCATACTACAATACACATACAAAAATTGCTCGTGATCTTCTATTGTTTTTCCTGACTGATAGACTAGCGTCGTTCAACCATCAATAGTCGACTCATAGCCTAGCACTGTTCGGTCAATGACTCTAATTATCTAGGCTCGTAACCTAGTGTCGTTCCACCATTAACCCCTCAAATACGACACATACACGTATCATATAATCAAGCAATCAACGTATACACAAAAAACTAATCTAGTCTATTTGTATAATCATAAAGGAACAATACCTTCATCCTATCATACAAAGGACATATACTATCACACGTAGTATAGTTAGAAAACTCACCTGATATGAAGAGAGGAAGTCATAAGCATGAGTCCTCGAAGAAATCAACTACATGAACTAGCTAAACGAAAATTAAAGGCCAAACCTAGGTCTATAGCTCAAAGCCATCAAAGTTCGACCAAAAATCAAACTGGTCGCTTAAAGGTCAACAATGGTCAAAGTCAATGGTCAATGCGTGTGACCCAACTCTTGGTCGCCTCGCGGACACTAGGCGACAAAACAGTCATGATAATCCATCAAGATTTGTGTTGCATCCCTTCCATGGTTGCATCATGCTTTATAGATCAGAACCAACTTCATGTTGAACACTTAATTCTCTAAAACCAAGGCTCACATTCTCAAATATAAATCCATTAAGGGTCTTAATGGATAAACTTTCAAACTTTATCTAGATCCATGACTCAAGATCCCAAATCCTAACATAAAAAGGAGTTCTAAATATCATGATTCCTTTGCATGGCTCCATGGGAACCCAAACATGCACTCAAATGACCTTAAAAACGTACAAAAATCATCCTAAGTCAAACATATTGTTTGGAGTTCTATAAACTGCAAGAACTTCATATAAAGGGACTAAGACTCATCTACAAGCCTAGATATATGGAAGAAATACAAAAAGGAAAAGAATTTATGAATTACAATGGTCTAGAATCAATGTAGAAGGTTGGATCTTCTCTGGAATGAACTCCACAATGCACCGACTGTTATTTTCTTCACAAAAACTCACTTAAATCTAAAGAACACAAGCATATTTTTTGGAGTTCTCCAAACTCCAGGAACATCATATAAAGGGACTAAGACTCATCAACAAGCCTAGATATATGGAAGAAATACAAAAAGGAAAAGAATTTATGAATTACAATGGTCAAGAATCAATGTAAAAGGTTGGATCTTCTCTGGAATGAACTCCACAATGCACCAACTGCTATTTTCTTCACAAAAACTCACTTAAAACTAAAGAACACACCAAAAACACCTAAATGTGAAAGGGTTCTCTCTTGTGGAGGTGGAGGCTGAAGATAAAAGAGAACCCTACAATAGTAGTACATTTATATAGGGCCCAAGACCCGTGACCTAGGGTTTTGGGTTGTGGTAGACATGCATCGTGACTCATACTATGTGTGTCGTTACTTATCGATGTGACTCGCGTCGTGAAGTCCATAGCATGCACCACGAATCCCAGCACCCAAAATTTAATAACATCAAAACATTTAAGTTGTTTAAATAAATAATATCCCAATAGCGAGTGTTATAATTTTAACATTTTTTTCTTAGTTTAATTTAGAGTAAATTACTGAAATCGTCCCTGTAGTTTGGTCAAAATTGCACGTTTGGTCCCTAACTTTTTTTTTGCACTCGGGTCGTCCCTGTGGTTTGATTTTGTTGTGTTTTTCGTCCCTATGGTTTGGTAAAAGTTGCATGTTTGGTCCCTAACTTTATGTATGTAAGGGACGAAAAATGCAACAAAATCAAACCACAGGGACGAAAAATGCAACAAAATCAAACCACAGGGAAGATCCGAGTGCGAAAAAAAAGTTAGGGACCAAACGTGCAATTTTGACCAAAAGAATTTTACAAATGTTTTAAAACAGTTACAACTTTTATATTCTTTTTAATTAGAAGTTTATAAACTTTTAATTTTTTTAATAAAAGAATAAAAAAGTTAAACAAAATCTATGGAACGTCTTAAAAATGTTGTAAAAACAGTTTACAAATGGTTGTATGAAAGTTATAAAAAATTGTATGAAAATGTAAAAAAAAAATTAAAAACTTGTTAGTAAAGTTTAAAACACTTAGAAAATGCTTGGTTTAAAAACAATTGTATTAAAATTATATGAAAGTATAAATAAATTATAAAATTATAACGAAAATTAAAACATTGCATTACGAAAACCTATTAAAAAAAATAAGAAAAAAAATCTTAAAAATATTGTAATAAATTATTAAAAAAGCCTTAAAGAATTTGTAGAAAAAATATATTTGTTCAAAATCATGTATCTGAGCATGTTCGTATTACTAGAGTATGAATGAAATTATACTTTTAAAATCATGTATCCGAGCATGTACATATAACTAGAGTATGAATGAAATTATACGTTTAACATCATGTACCTGAGCATGTATGTATAAGTAGAGTATGAATGAAATTATACGTTTAAAATCATGTATCTGAGCATGTATGTATAAGTAGAGTATGAATGAAATTATACGTTTAAAATTATGTAACTGAGTATGTATATATTTTTAGAGAAGATATGATTATATGATTAAAATCATGTATCTGTGCATGTACATATAATTAGAGTATATATATATTTTTAGAGAATGTATGATTATATGTTTAACATCACGACCCAACTCTTGTTCGCCTTGTGGACACTAGGCGACAAAACAATCGCGACAATCCATCAATATTCGTGTTGCGACCCTTCCATGGTTGCATCATGCTTTACAAGTCAGAACCAACTTCTTGTTAAACACTTAATCTCTTAAAACCAATGCTCACATTCTCATATATAAATCCATTAAGGGTCTTAATGGATAAACTTTCCAACTTTAACAAGATCTATGGCTCAAGATCTCAAACCCTAACATAAAAAGGAGTTCTAAATAACATGATTCCTTTGCATAGCTCCATGGGAACCCAAACATGCACTCAAATGACCTTAGAAACATACAAAAATCATCCTAAGTCAAACATAATGTTTGGAGTTCTCTAAACTGCAAGAACTTCATATAAAGGGACTAAGACTCATCTACAAGCCTAGATATATGGAAGAAATACAAAAAGGAAAAGAATTTATAAATTACAATGGTCTAGAATCAATGTAGAAGGTTGGATCTTCTCTGGAATGAACTCCACAATG